CTATTTGAACCAAATCATATTTCTTTTGATACATTTTTTGATTTTTAGGGATATGAAGAAAAATTAAACATTAGAAACTTTTAAAAACTACAATAAAAAGGGATTTAAAAAGTTTGTGTAACATGGAATTAAATGACAATGGAATTTTTCCACAAACTTTTTGAAGTCCCCGCATATAAAAACGCAAGAATTAAATACAGAATTGGCCACAAGTACTGGGTCCCATGGAGTTTATGGTCATCTTTACAGCAGAGGTAGCTGGGACAAGGGAAAGATTTCAGGCATAACTATCATATCGTACTTCTCAGAGAAATAGGCGGCTGGCTTCCTACTCGCATAAAGACTTACAGTTTCAGAAACCTTCCGAGGCAATTCCACTCTGTTCTATAGGGTCTCTATGAGTTTGAATTGATACAGTGGAAGTGAGTGTGGTTTGGTGGGACAGACCCTCTCCAAAACTATATGGTAATTTAATTATTCACAAAGATGGCATTAAAAAGAAAATGAATTTTCCGGAATTAAAAAGCTATAAACTGCCCCTAAACAATATGTATTTATCTATTTAGTGTGCTACTTAGTGAAATCATAATAAGGCACATTCTACTGCTGAGTTTTCTACAAGTAGGACAAGTTCCCCTTTGCTACTGACTGCAACTCCTCAGGGACTGGTGGCATCATCACGCCCGGCTTCCATGGAAACGCAATTGCTTTCACTGTGTTCTTCACATTGTAGGCAATACACGATGCGTGGCTAGACAATCTTCAGAGGAGCCTTTGCATTCTCTCTCCCTCACCCAACACGGTGGCTCAGCAAAAAAGAAGAGGAGGAAGAAGACAATCTCCCTATCGGGCTTCCTGGCTGAGGATGGGGGGAGCGGTGGAGGAAGCACCTGTGTCCCCCAGCTGGGCTGATGAAACAGATGACCTGGAAGATGTTTCCACCACTTGGCACAGTAATGATGACGATGCATATAGGGCACCTCCAATGGACTGTTCTATCCTGTCCACTGCTCCAAGGGCTGCTCGGGAACCCAATACCGACAGGAGCTGTCTTCCCAAATCGCCACCCTCCATTGCTTTTCTAGAGAATCTGCCCTCCGATGTGACAGAAAACTCAATTAAGGAATTCTTTAGAGGATTAAATACCAGTGCTGTGCACTTACCTCGTGAATCCAGCAATCCAGAGATATGAAAAGGTTTTGGCTATGCTGAGTTTGAGGACCTGGACTCCCTGCTCAGTGCCCTGAGCCTCAATGAAGAGGTAAAGAAAGCAAATTGTGGGAGGTGGGAGCTAACAGATTTCTAGTGCTTACTAATCAAACTATTACTGAAGTTGAGTCTGTAATTTTTAAAAAAGATCTATATAAACTCTATTCATTAAAAAAAGGCTTAGGAGCAGCCTCTGGAAGAATGGGACAGTGGTGTTTTTTATTTATTTATTTTAGATAATTTTTTAATCTAACATTTAAAAGGTGGCTTATCTACAAATTGGATTGCTAACTACAAGGTCAATAGTTCCAGACCTGCCACTCCCCCGGAGACACACGAGGCTGTCTGCTCCCGTAAAAATTTAAAGTCTTGGAAATCCACAGAGGCTGTTCTAATCTGTCCTATGAGGGTTATAATAGGATCACTATGAGTTGGAACCAACTGAACCCCAGGGAGTGTTTTGGGGTTTTAAAAAGTATTTTGGATGTTTATATTTAAAAATAATAATATAGGAAAGCAAACTAAAATGCTGTGTCCATATTATTATTTTTTAAAAAACCTTAAGACAAATGACTCAAGTCCAAATACATTTTAACAGAGCAAGCCATAAACCACAAACCCCAAAAGTGACCATTTAACAAAAATGTCATCATTAATAAGTGCAGTGGCCTAAATAAAAAAGTCTCCTTGTAATATATTCTCACCTGCCTGAAGTAAACCATCCAGTCAGGGTTGCACTGGGAAACCATATCATAGGGGGTTGCCAGGTAGACTAGATGAAGAAGGCTCTCAAGCACAAGTCCTTCAAGGCCTTTCTTCAAGTCTCTGTAGAGAATGTCACAGTAAGCCAGATCTATCATTCCTAAAAGACACATGAGGACGTTATGACGTCTTTGCTAAGTACGAGAGGGGGAAAGTCAATTTTAAGTACAGTCTTAACTGTAAGATAAAGTTACCTAAATAAAGCAAAAAAAACCAAAAAACCTACTTTGAAAGCCACTTAAACAATACCCATCAACATTTATCATCTCCATACCTTTTGACCCAACTACTCAATTCCTGCACAACTAACCCATGGAAATACTTTAGTGCATACTCGGATACACAGGAATTGAGATGTCTATGAACAGAAGAATGGCTAAAAATATTATGGTATATCAATAGTATAGATGGGCACACTTATTAAGAGACAATGAGGTGGTAGGTTTAAAGAAATTGGTATAGCAAAGTGCTCATGATGTTTTAAGTGAGAAAAGCATGTTGCTAAACAAATACTTACATGATTCTAGTGTCAGAAAATAAGCTTTATGCGTTAAACATGTATACACTGTATAAGAGCCCTACTTGTGTGTGGATGTCGTACAGCTGGTTGCCTTTGGGCCAACTCCAACCCAGGGTGACCCCATGCGTGCAGGCAGGGTTCACAAAACTGTGATCCTAGAGCAACAGACTGTCAGGCTGATGTGCTAAGGTACCTCTGGATGCGTCTGAACCACCAACCTTTTGGCTAGTTGGCACAAAACAATGCATGTGGAGATGTTATGAGGTCATATATCAAACATTTTTTACCCCAGGCACCATCCTTCAGATAAATAATGTAATGCAGCTAAACTCTTACCCTTGAAAGAAGCTCGTCCCAACTTTGTAATCTGGAAATTACATTGGAACTCTGCTTCAGACTTATAAATCGTGTCTTTTTGTAGGAGTCCTTTTTCTGCCAGGCAGTTAAGTGATTCCATAGTTATTTCCGAGAGGCTTTTTCCTTTCAACAAAATCTTCTGCTGAACTCCCAAAAGTGTGCCCCTCATAAAGTGACATATGTCATTCAGATTTGTTGCAACCTGAAACAAGTCACACCAGTATAAGAGCTTCCTTAAGTCAAGGCATTTCAAGTGCACATGAGTCAAGATAATGGCTCACCCCATCCCTCAAACTAGTTAACAAAAAACTCGTGTGTAATTTGCATAAGCACACATGATTTTATAGTATTTTATAATTAACAAGAAAATATACAATTTAAGATGGTAGATTATTATCACAGCCATACTTTTTATGAAAACATTTATACATTTTTCATTCAAAGCACATTAGCCTTTTGAATAATGTTTCAGATTTTCTCCAAAGCTGTACTCTCTCCATTTATTTCCCAACCAGTTACCAATAATTCCTGTTCAATCTCCTCCAGAAAGCCACCCCTTGACCCCTTTCCTTCCATCTGAGAAAGCACCTGTCAGCTCTTTAAAAAGCATTAAAAGAAGAAGAAGAAGAGCAAAAACACATAACACAAGGAAAACATTCCTGCAGAAAGCCACTAAGACAAGTCCAGGCAATATTTCCCAGTGGAGCTGAAATAGTTTTCTGTCACACTTTCTCACCCCCACTCCCATTTCTCTTTCCTCTTTTTTTCTGCCTTTCTCTCTCCCTCTGTTATACACTATTCACAACCCCAAATGGCAATCATAAGTACCATATATACTTGAGTACAAGCCAAGTTTGTTAGCACATTTTAAATGCCAGTTCTGTGGTAAAATTAGGTGCCTCAGCAAATACTCGGGTCAGCTTGTACTCGAGTACATACAGTAACACTTAACTCTCCCTTTGGCATCTATCTGCAGATTTAGAATTATTTTTGATTAGCCAATTGCAAAGAAATCTGCATCCTCTCCTAAAATACAGTCCATCAACAAATACAGTTCTCTCCCTTGCAATCTTGATATTTCAACTGGAAATTTAAGTAGTCACTTCAAAATAAACTGATATAAAGGATTCCCCAAACCCCATTTTCTATTGCTTCTTGCTCTTTTAATTAAAACTATTCTCAATGTAGTTATTAGAGTACAATTCTACTTTCAAACTACTCAGGCATCGACCCTTGGATTACTAAAGGGTTTATTTGGGGTTGTGTACTGTTTCCTTCCTGAGTGTATACAGACAACACTGGCAGTAAAGACGGAGTAACACCCTTATATGGGCTTCTTTCTCTTCCTCTATGTTATTTTTCTGTGCCTGCTTTCCCACGCCTTAAACAAGTTTTGAAATAGTAATTGCAACCATCTGGGCTGGCCTTGGCTTTTCAAAGCTGTCTGCCCCCCTAATACCTTAACCTGCAAGTTCAGTTCACCCAAGCCCACATTCAAAGTCAACCCATTCATTAATCCAAATATTTTTATGAGGTGTCAACAATACGCTGAGCCCTCTGCTAGGCAGCAGAAATTGGAGACAAATGAAATGTAAACCCAGTTTTCTAAGCTTACATTCCAATGTTACAAACCAAATAATTGTGTCAACATTAACATACATAATGACAAATGGAGAGGTAAAGGAAAGGATGGCATTCTGTAAAATGTATTGTGTTACTTTCCTCTAGTTCTTTGGTGCTTCCTTCCCCCCACTAGCATGACCTCAAGTCTACCTTAAATCTGATTAGACCAGAAGATGCACACTGCCACAGATAAGAGCCCGCAACACAGGGAATCCAGGATAGATAAACTCCTCAGGGTCAACAAGGAGAGTAGAGATACCAGGAGGATTAGGGAAGGGTGGGGAAGAAAAGGAGAATCGATCACAAGGATCAACATATAACCCCCTCGTAGGGGGACGAATAATGGGAAAGTGGGTGAGGAGCGATAGAGGACGATGTAAGAGACGAAAATAATAATCTATAACTTATCAAGGGTTTGTGAGGGAGGGTGGGTGGGGAGGGAGGGGCAAGAAATGGGGACCTGATATTAGGGACTCAAGTGGGAAGAGAATGCTTTGAAAATGATGATAGCAGCATATGTGCAAATGTGCTTGACACACTGGATGAATGTATGGGTTGTGATAAGAGATGTAAGAGCACCCAATAAAAGTAAGAAAAAAAATTGTATTAGTTACATAATCTGGTGTCAATTTAAGACTTAAGAGTAAAGGGGTGTCAATCAGGTCGCAGCTTGATGACCTCATTTGGAGGCCTAAAGAGATAAATAGCTTGCTAGAGGTGGGACACATGGTCACTCCCTGGAAGGCATCCCAGCTGAGAAGACACATGGAGCGATGCTAGAGCCCAGGAGCTGAAGGAACCTTGTGGAGAACCCTGCCAGTGCTGAGATGCTGCTACTGCCTCTGGATCCACAAGACTTTCTACCCACTAGCCTGTGATCTTCCTGCAGCCAGCATCATTGCATGTTTGCCTGAGTCTTAATAGGAATTTATAGATTGGTATTGGACATATGGGCTAATATTGGACTACAGACTTGATCTGCACTGGGCTGGGCTGTTTACTCAGTATTCAATTGCTCTTGTATATAAAGCTCTTTCTATACACATGAGTCTCCCTGGATTTGTTTCTCTAGTCTACCCAGGCTAACACATGTATATTGCAATAGACTGACAGGATTCAGATGCCATATGTGCAAAAGTGATGGGTAAGCCCAGATCTAAAGGCTGAGCGGGTGTTAACTACACAGCCGATGCCAGCGGTACTAGAGATAAGAAGGACAATGGCTTAGCAGCATTGGGGTAGGAGGGAGAATGTTATATTTGAGAAAGGTAAACAGAAAGCTGGAGTGCACAGAATGTGTGAAAGTGGAAGGGAAGCTGCAGAAAGAGGCAGAGGCCACTGTCTACCAAGGTAGATAACCAATAAGGAGTTGGACCTTAATCCTAAAAGCAATTGGAAACCACTGACAGATTTTAAGCAGAAGGAGATTATTGAATCATGTGTGCATTTTCAAAAGACCACTGCATGAAGAATTGTTTGGAGGCAATGTGGGAAAGCAGCCCAGAGTAGATGCAAGAAAGACCAGTTAAACCACTGCAGTGATCCATGTAAGAAACTGCAGTAGCGGGGACTCGCGTGCTTGGGGGCAGATATATAGCATGACAGGGAACTGCGAGAGGTTCAGCCCAGATTCAGAGGAGGACAGGGAACGAGGGTTACCATTGCTGATGTCAGATGGATCTTGGCTCAAAGCAGAGAATACCAGAAAGATATTTACTTGTGTTTTCTTGAGAATGCAAAGGCATTTGACGATGTGGATCATAACAAACTAAGGATAATCTTTACAAGAATGGGAATTCTAGAACACTTCATTGTGCCCATGTGGAACTTGCATGTGGATCATGAGGTGTCAACAGAACAAGGAAAACTGCATGGTTTAAAATCAGGAAAGGTATGTGTCAGGGTTGTATCCTCTCACCTGTATGCTCAACAAATCATCAGAGAAGCTGAATGATATTAAGATTAAGGCATCAGGATCGGAAGAAAGCATATTAACAACCTGCGATATGGAGATGACGCAGTCTTGCTTGCTGAAAAAGAGGAGGACTTAAAAGACTTGCTGAGGAAGGTCAAGGACTGCAGCTTTCAGTATGGACTGCAACTCAATGTCAAGAAGACCAAAGCCCTCACAACTGGACTAACAGGCAACATCCTGACAAAGGGAGACAAGGTTGAGGTTGTCAAGGGTTTTGTCTTGTTTGGATCCACAATCATGCTCATGGAGGCAGCAGTCAAGAGATCAAAGCACATCACGTTGGGGAAATCTGCTGCACAAGACCTCTTAGAGCAGTGAAAAGCAAGGATATTTCTTTGAAGTCTCAGGTACGCCTGACCCAAGCCTGGTTATTTTCCATTGCCTCAGATGCATGGGAAAGCTGGACACTGAACAAGGAATATTGTAGAAGAATTGATGTGTTTGAATTGTGGTGCTGGTGAAGAATATTAAAAGTATTGTTATAAGCACTGTAAGAGACCCCAATAAAATTATGTATTAGAAAAAAAAGAATATTGAAAGTTCCATGGCCTGCTAAAAAACCAATATGTGTTGGAGGAAGTATGGCCACAGTGCTCCTCAGAAGCAAGACTGGGACATGTCCCTGGACAAGGGCATTGTGCTTGGTAGAGAGGCAGCGAAAGAGAAGAAGTCCCTCAGTGAGATGGGGTGAGATGGGCTGACCCGGGGACTGAACAATAAACTCGGGCACAGGAACAACTGTGACGATGGCGAAGGACGAGCAGTGTTTCGTTCTGTTGTGCAGCGTGTCACTGTGGGGCAGAGCCGACTCAATGGCACCTCACAACAACATACAGCATAAACCAGTCTACATAACGAGTCTCTGTTAGCCTTGGATGCTTTCCTTGTAAAAGGGTAATTACACTACTGAATTCAAAGGTGTGCAAAGATTGAGAGGTGAGACATGTAGAGTGTCTATCAGAGTATTTGAAACATAACTGAAGACTCCTTTAGTCTTATGCCCTGAACTATATATCCTCACATCACTTCTAAGTTTTCTCTCCCACCATGGCCAGGCCCTAGTGTTTCCAGGAATGCTCATCTCTACATTCCTGTCTCTTGACTTCATGATGCCCAAGTCATACATCTGGCCCCTCGTTCCTCTTACCTCTATTCTACCCACTTGGACCTGTGCAAAGGACTTCACTTCTACTTCAAACCCACCCTTCATGGTTTTCCTGGTGAATCACTCTGTCTAGAATCTCAGCCCTCTTTCTCAAGGAGGATCCTACAGTGAACCCTAAACACAGGAGCTCAAGATCTGCCACCTATCAATAGGCTCGATGACCACTGCCCACCTCTTGACTGCTGCACTGCAATGGTTAAGGACAAAATTGGGAGGTCTGTGTACCCTGTGGATTTGCCATCACCATGCTCAGGCCAACTAGTTTCCCTCGTCTCTCTGTTCCTCTAAATACTCCAGTCTCAAATGCAGTTCTAGCTCCCTCCTAATTCCTTTTGGAAGACTGCCTTTTGCTGAATGTGTCTTGGAAGAAGTACAGTCAGAATGCTCCTCAGAGGCAAGGATGGCAAGCCTTCGTCTCACGTACTGTGGACTTGTCAGGAGAGACCAGCTCCTGGAGAAGAACATCAAGTTTGGTAGAGGGGTAGGAAAAAGAGAAAGGCCCCTGACAAGACGGATTGACACAGTGGCTGGAAACATAAGAACGGTTGTGAGGAGGGCACCGGACCCGCCTGTCGTACACTGAGTCGCTATGAGTCAGAGCCAAGTCCAATAGCACCACTAACAACAAACCCATGACATACATTTTATGAATACACATCTGCAAACAGCCTTATCATTTTTAAGCAATTTACAAGAATTTTTAAAATGCTAATTAGTCTATATAATTGTTTTATTTCATGCTCTATGCCTGCCCCCGCCCAAGAAATATATATTTGCCTAACCCAAGGTAACAATAGCTTTTCTCCTATATTTTACACTTTAAGTTTTAGTTTTAGCTTTTATGGTTATATCCATGTTCCACTTAGAGGTCATTTTTTTGTATAAGGTGAGCTCAGAGTAGAAGTTAATTTTTTAAATTCCATATGAATATCCAGTTGCTTTAGCACCATTTGTTAAAAAGGCTAACCTTTCTCCATTCAAATAACTTAGCACTTTGGTTGAAAATTGACTATATATATGTGGATGTATTCCTGGAGTCACTTGTCATTGATCTATAGGAGGGGGCTTCAAAAAGTTCATGTATAAAAGAAATTCAAAGATAACAGAATTTTTCCATGAACTTTGTGAAACCCCTCACAAGTATATCTTTGTACCAACATTCTTGATCACAATAGCTTTACACCATTCTACAGAAACTCTTAAAATCAAGTCGGATAAGCCCTCTAACTTTACTAAGTTTTCCTATCTTTCATCTTAACTACATCTTAACTGCAAATGATGCCTCCCTTCTCTGTGCTCATCTAAACCTGTTGTGTTGTTAAGGGCCATGAAGTCACGTACAACTCATAGCAAGCCTATGCACAACAGAAGGAAACATGACCCAGTCCTGTGCCACGCCAGCCTCACAGTGGTTCCCATGCCAAGCCCATGGCTGCAGCCACTGTGTCAAGCCATCTCCTTGAGGGCTTTCCTCTTTTTCGCTGCTCCTTTACTTTAACAAGCATGATGTCCTTCTCCAGGGACTGGTCTCTCCTGACAACATGTCCAATGGATGTAAGATGATATCTCACCATCATTGCCCCTATGGAGGACTCTGGCAGTACTGCTTCCAAGACAGACTTACTTTTGGCATCCCATAGTACTTTGGATATTTTTCTCCAGGACCACAATTCAAACACATCAATTCCCTTATTCAATGGCCAATGTTCAAGATGGAAGTTGTCAAGGATTTTGTCTTACTTGGATTCATAATAAAAGCTTATGGAAGCAGCATGAGATCAACAGACAAATTGCGTTGGGTAAATTTGCTGCCTAAGACCCTCTTTCGAGTAATGAAATAGCTGAAACCTCTATACCCTTTAATACCCAGCACAAATCCCTTTTCCTTCTTTCTTTCTGAATTGCCAGGGGACAGAGCAATTACACCCTTTACCTGCCACATCATCGAATCTTGCTGGGTAAAAATAAATCTTGCTGTGTGAGATCTCTTTTACTTATCAGTTCCCTTTTGGATTGTTATTTAAACTGGCCATGTTAACAAAGGCTGAATGCATGGTGGACTATTCAAATTCAAAATCTGGCTTTACAATTGACCCAAGAGACCCTGGATAAATTGACTAAAAATATTTAATTCAAGAATAATTGTAAGAGTAGATTTAACTTAAGAACAAGCCTAAAAAAGGGAGTTAATTTCTAATCTTGGGAAAGTGAATGTTGTCCCCTCAAGCTTTTCTGCGTGGCAAAGGCCATAAGGAGCTCACGAGTGTTTATGATATGCTAGGTCACTGGACTACCAAGTCTTACCCATAAGGAGGGATCGGTGCTGGGTTATCTCCTGCCAAGGCTCATGTTGTTTAAGTTCCCTGTAGACCCCACCAAATCTACAACATATTTGTTGATTTTTCACATTATTTAGAAAGCTAAGGATTCAAAATGCAGAAACAAACCCATATTCAAACTTATTGTGTCAAAAACTGACCTTTTCCACATTACATTAGAAGTTAACCTTTTTATGTTTCAGTTCACATAAAATTTTTTAACATCCATTATTTTGAGTGATGGTAATGAGTTTAAAAAATATTTTTCAAATACCTTCAAACCAATCAAAGAGAGAAATAAAGTCTGGATCCCCTTGGCAAATTCCTGAACAAGGTGGCTATAACAGTTTTCCATTGGACTGTTTATTAACTGCAGTACCTACAAAAAATTAAAGTTATATTTTGCATTATAAAGTATAAATGATGTTCCTTTGAAAACATTATGTTGAGTGTAGGAAGACAGTGACAAAAAGTCAGATATTGTTATGAGCCTACTAATATTAAATATCAAGGGCAAGCCAAAGGAGGCGTGGTGGCAGAATGGTTACATGGGGGTGGGGGTGGGGGGTGCAGCGGCAATATGCAAGGCAGCAATTCGAAACCACCAGTTGTTCTGAGGGAGAAAGACAGGGCTTTCTTTCTAGGCCCATAAAGAGTCACAGGCTCAGAAACCCCCAGGGGCAGGTCTAGCCCATCCTACAGGATTGCTGAGTCGGCATCAACTCAGTGGCAGTGAGTTTGAGTTTTGAGTTTGAGAATAGGCAAATGAACA